AGCCAGGGTCTTAAACAATACTTCGACATTGGCTGATGGAATTCTAGATGTCAGGAACAATTCTAAATTCTTGAATTGTGCAAGTTCACTTCACACAAGCCAATATCATGAAATGGAAGGTGTTTGTTTCATTTTAGAGGTGCAGAGAGATGAAGTAAAATCTGTCTCTCTGAGTGGATGTGGTCCCTGTTAGGACGCCCATGTCCCAGTGGCTGAGGACAGTGCTTACTGAACTCCATGGGCTATGAAAAGAGGAAACAGTGTCGGGAGGGGGAGGTGGCGGTGAGGTCTGGGAGGAGTTGAAAGGGGCATGGGGTGTGTTATACAATCAACATACACTGCATAGATGTATGAAATTCTCAAAAGAATGAGCAAAAAATATGGAAAAAAATTACCACTCTGTTAAGTGTAGGCAGAGGCTGCTGGGTGAGCAGGGGTGAGGAGGGAGCCAGAGAAGGGGCTTCCAAGTGTTCCACTGAGGCTCAGGCTGGATTGAGTGTGGAGAGAGAATGGCTTGCTTGGCAGCTGGAGCATCAGGGTGACAACTGTGACCACAGAAATAGATTAGCATCTTGGAGGTACTGACTGAGCTCTGACTCCGTGCCAGGCGCTGGGATGCAGAATAAGGCCAAGAGCCATGGCCACCTGACTCCTTGAGAACACTAGGCATGGACAGCCAGTAAGGAGGGATGGTTTCTCACACAATTTTTAATTTTTTTTTAAAAAAAGATTTATTATTCTTATGTGCACTGGTGTTTTGTCTGCATGTAAAGGTGCCAGATTCTCTGGAACTGGAATTACAGACGGGTGTGAGCTGCGATGTGAGTGCTGGGAATTGAATCCAGGTCCTCTGGAAAAGCAATCAGTGCTTTTTAGCTTCGGAGACATCTGTGCAGTCCTCACACACAGCGTTATAAGTAGAAGGTAGGTGGGGTAGCACATGGATGAGAGCGAGCTGACAGGTACACGGAGACAGAGGATGAGGGGCATGCGCTTGGAGGAGGCAGATGGTGAAGGACTGTAGGGGAGAGCAAGGAAAGGAGAGCTTGAGGGAAAGGTGCAGTCCGAGGGAGGGGTTCTGTGTTGGGGGAGGATCAGCAGGATAGGAACTAACGTGGCAGGGCTGGAGAAAGTCTCCAAGGGTTCAGTGTGCACAGGCAAAGGGAGTTCCCAGCTGGGTGTGGGAGGTACCGGGTGCTGTGCTCTGGGAAAGGAAGGAGACAGCCTGTAGTCTGAGGGGACTTGAGGAGAGGCTTCTGCTTTCTGTTTTAGGGAGGAGACCGAGGCAGATGCAAAGGCTGAGGTAGAGGGCCCTTGGAGGAAGAACAGAGTAATGACACAAAAGATGAACTCAGGTTAGGCCAATGCACTCCCATGGGGGAGGGGGAATAAAGCAGTGAGAGATTTGAACGAGCTTAGGGGAGGGGGAGGAGACAGAGAACTGAGGAGGAAATGAGCTTGGGATGGCTGGATGGGAAAGAGCGTTCGCGAGCTCGACTGAGGGACCCAGAGAGAGCAGAAGCCTGGGTAGTGGGCAAGGTGGGCCAGGTATGGGCAGTCAGCAAAAACAGCTTTCTGCAGGCTTCCTGGAGGCCGTTAATCCTGGGGACCAAGTCAGGAGTCCGGGAAAAGGGCCTGGAAGAGGTCTGCTGAGAGAATGGCAGAATTCACAGTGGGACCAGGGCTGAGGTGGACTCTGAAGACGCTGGTCAGAAGTGGGATTTCTGAGGGAGATCTTAGGAGTCGCCCCTAATGCGGGCACTCGGTGTGCTGAGGGAGCATGCCTCTGAAGGAGAGGAGGCACTGGCAGAGGAGTCAAGGCTGGTCTGGAACAGAACAACTGGGTTAAGGGGTGGGGCCTCTGGCAGGAGGAGGCAGAAGATTGAGCCGTCCAGGGTACCCTGTCCTTGTTACCCAGTTTCAAAGGGACTGTGCGCCTTTCATACATAACGAGGAAGCTCAGTAAGGGCTGGCGTAGGACTCAGCCAACAGTCACAAATCAGTGACTGCCAGCCAAGTAGGCAGAGACAGCTGGGGAAGCTTCCCACCAAGCCGTTGCACCCAAGGCCGAAGAGAAACACGGAGCAGATACAACCATATTGTGCTGCTTTTAATTACGAAAGATGTAAAATGATGCATTATAAAACTTGGAAGCTACTTTATACAAAGTCCGATCTTTCAATATTGCTTAATAAAAGGCCGGGAGTGAAGACACTGGCCGGACGTCTGATTAGCTGCTGGGATGGCTGGGAACCATCTGTGCACCAATCAGAAGAGCCCTGGAGAGTCCCAACAGGAAATGTCTTCAGATATGCGCAGGAGCACGAGTACACGGCCTCTCAGCCCAGATAATATACAGTAGACTTGGGGGAGAGGGAACAGACAGAGGAGAGCTGATCCTGACACCATCAGAGCATCTCTCCCCACACTCACATCCTAAACCCACGACCGACCGCTGCGCTGCTAGGGAAGGTACAGCTGGTGGGACAGAGAAGACACTGAAGAGAGGTCTGGGGACGCCTGTAGCTACTTCAATGCTGAGGCCTAAGACAGGTTTGTCACAAAGGCAGCATCGAGTGCAGGCTTACACGGCTGGGGCAGGGCAACATTGTCTCCTGGTGTACTCAACACCATCTAGACTGGTGGGCTCTCCAGTGGCTTAAAGCTACTCACATACAAAGATCAGGCTGATGGGCCTATAGAAGGATTTAATTCAGTGCTACATTGTTTTTTGTTTTTTTGGGTCCCCCCCCCACCCCCAGCCAGTGCTTGCCCATAGGTTGGAGAACGCCTCAGGGACAGGGCAATTTAGGGTACAGGGTCGTGAAATCTCCATGAAAGGACAGCAGCTGTCCAAGCAGAGATTCTCTTTCAGGGTTCTCCTCCTGACCCCTTCACCTCATACCTGGCTCCTCCCCTGTGTGCTGTGTGGGCGTCACCAACACGATGACCCCACAGATAAGGCTTGATGCAGGGACAGTATGCTGGGAACCCCTTTCTCTCAACTTTTACATCAGCATGATCTCTGCCTGATTGATGCTGAAGGCTGAGATCCAATTTTGGGGGCCTCTGGCCTGGGAGCCAGCTTCCGTGGGTATGCTGGGGTGCTGGACGGTGCGAGGAGAGCTTTCACTTTAAAGTCACCAAGCATGAGTTTCACTGGGAATAGGGCTTGCTAGCAGAGGCCAGTGGCATCGTCGGGGTCGAATCGGGTGAAGAGGATTTTAATTTGTTTTCCCAATTAAACAGCAGAGATTGAGGTAAATGGGAACACAGAATTCTTGGGTCCTCAGGGAAGGTGCAGCGTGGCTCCGTCGGGCTGTTTGAAGAACCATAAGGAAGGCCTAAGAAGAGACACGCAGCACGCTGTGGGGAGCTGGAGGAGCCAGCTTCCGGTCTGCAGGCTCCTCTTGCCTTAGGCACAGATGGGTCAGCTTCCTTCTACTTCATCTACTGGGTGGGAACAGCCACTAAGCCTCAGCTACACTCTCGCATCTCAGGAAGGGCAGCAGGCATCCAAGCAGGTATTCTCCTCCAGGGTGATCCTCCTCCCCACCCTGGCTCCTCCCCTCACGCTGGGTGACGTCATTTTCCCCATTCGGGGCTAGGAGGCAGGTAGTGGTAGAATCTGCTCAGATTACTGTGTAATAAGGTGTTAATGAATAACAAGGGTTAACCTCTCTACCTCTCTCTCTGTCTCTCTCTCTTTTTTTTTTTCCAGGCCTTATTTCTTAACCTCAAAGTTTTCATCTCTATTTTAAGCAATTTAGAAAAACCCATGGGTCTGAGTGGGAAGATTTACTGTGGGGGTCCAGTCTAGATGCCGGGTGTCCCCCACACATGGGGTTTGGTGTGATCAGCCATTCTGGATACACTCACTGGATGATTCTCACCTAGCTGCTGAGGGGCATACTCCCGAGGAGGAGGGGTACGGAGCCTAGCGACAGATCTGGTCACCTAGTGTTAACGCATACTCAAGTGAGTCTGAATCCAAGGCACCGGTGTGAGGAGGTTAAAGCTCTGAGCTAAGGCAGGGAATGAAGGCAGCTACAGGTTAGACTGTCCCACCACGAGGCAGTCATTCACTCATCCATGCCTGGGTGCCACGCGTTCAGGCATTTGGTGGGCACTAGGCGTCAATACAGAACAAGGCACAGTTCCTGCCCTCTGGGAGCTTACAGTCTAGTGGGAATTGCATTAAACTTGAGGTCTGCAGGGGAAGCTGGGGGGAAAGGGCAGTTCAACTGCCCTGTACTGACAGGAGTCCCAGCAGCTCCTTCCAGTGGGCTGGAGGGTGGCAGACCCAAGATGGAGGGCATCTTGTACAGGTGACACACCTGTAGCCGCCTCCCTCCCCTCCAGTCTCCTGGGAGCACTGTCCTCTTTAGGCTCATCCTGTTTCCAAGGACATTTTTTTTTTTTTTTTAGTGAGCAAATGAGTCTCCCTCTCCTCCTGTCTGTGAGGAAAAGGTGCGCATACAGGAAAGCAGCAGAAAAGAGATCACAAACTGGGAGGAAGCAAACTGCACTCAGTCTGCCTAACTTAAGCCTGCCCTGGAATGGGTGGTTAAGCTTCTTCATTTTAAGTAAGCCATCTGACAGATCAGTGGCTAGGCCCAGAGTACCCACCAGCTGGAGGGCTGCCTGGCTTTGGCGGTCAGATATAAAGGCATCATGGTGCTCTGGTACCATTGTGTGACACCGAGTAAGTGCCCCGGGCCTGTGACACTGAGTCAGCGCCCCGAGCCTGTGACCCCCTGACAGCCTCCTTTTTGTCCCATCTTCAGTGCAGATGGGGATCCGAGGTTTGGAGCACTGACATGTTACACAGCATTTTCGACGTTTACACACTGACTGGGTGGCCAATAAGAAGAATTAAGGGTGACACGGTGAGCTTCCTGGTCACCAGAAGCTCCAAAGCAGCTGGCCTGCAGCAGTACAACTGGTGCCACAGGACGGAGAGGGCAGCTGTGTCTAGAAAAGCCTCCCAGGCGGGCGGGTGGGCGGGCATCTGCGCTGGGACCTCAGTGGAGAGCCTGGGGCAGCATGGCTCCCTCTGCTATGACTACTGTCAGGGTGTTACTGGCTCCATTCTAGCTTATTCTGGCCATTTCAGTTCCCCAGTTCCACTGCATGTTGTTCATAGCCGGTCAGCTCGAAACGTCTCCTCCACAGAGGGGTCCAGCAGGCCCATGCTGGAGTCACTTAGCATGTTGAGTCCATCCAGGCTCAAGGGTTCTATCTGCAGCTCCTCTTCCAGTGGGAACGGAGTGTCCATGTCTAGGCTGACCTCAGGCATGCCCGACAGCCCCCCACTAAGGCCTTTGAACAGGTTGGTGCTTGCTTCTTCTGAAAGGAGCAGAGAGGAAATTTGGAGACAGGAGGACTGAGGCTTCTAAAGGGTGACAGTCCCCAACATGCCCAGACAGGACAGTGAGCACCCATGTACTGACTACTCCTAGGCCCATGGCTCTTGACCCAGGAATCAACTTTTTTTCTTAGACAGGGCCTCATTCTGTATGTAGCCTAGGCAGGCCTCAACCTCAAGCGACCCTACTATTTCAGCTTCCCAAGTGCTTGAATGACAGATGTGTACTGCCATGCCCAACTAAATCTTTGAAGTTTTGTAGGTCTCCCCCCTGATCCCCATAATGGTTTTTAATCACCTGAGACTAATACTTGCATCTTAAAAGTCAGGCCAAGGCGGGGGATTTCATTATCTAATGCTGCGTGATTTAACCTATTGCACAGAGGAGACGGCAAGGAAGCTGGGGTGGTGGGGCCCACACTCACCTGTCAGGATGGTGCTCGGGAAGCTCCCACAGCTGGAATATGGGTTTGGTCTCAAGTGGAATGAGTCCTGTGGTTCGCGGTGGCTCTGCGGCACCAAAGGCACCTGGAAGCATCAAAAGCCACACTGGGCAAGCAGCTCTGCTTCTGAGGTGTGTGAGCAAGTGCAGAATGTCCCCTACTGACCCACAGTCCCTTCTAGGATCCCAGAGGGCTCTGCTGTGTGCTCACACAGGCAGAACATTCCCTGGTATTCAGGTGGGTACGTGAGGACCACACTGGGTGACTTTTCTCTGCCTATACTCTGCCTGCTACACGACCCCAAGAGACACCAGTGGGCATAGTTTCAGACTCTGAGTCTCAGATATGCCCACATCCCAGCCTCAACAAGGCCTATGTGAGCCCCTCAGAGGTCCCTCTGTGGTTGAGGAGACAGTAGGCTCTTTGGCTTCTGGGGACAAGAGAGAGAGAAAACCTTCCCTTTCCTCTCATCAGCATCTCTCTAGGACAAAGTCTGTGAGGGCAGCTTACAGCTGGGGTCTGACTGAGGAATCTATGCTGAAACTAATTTTTAAATCCATTTTAAAAAATGTCTCCGGTACTTTTGAGGAGAAGCTGATCTTCACCTAGCTTGATAGGGCTATGTCTTTATGAACCAGTGAGGTAGGGCTGGGGGCGGGGGTAGGACGGGACTCAGCGCTAGAGTGCTTGTCTGGCATGTGTTAGACCCTGGGTCTGACGCTCAGCATCACAAAATGCAAAACAGTAACAGCAGCAAAGGTAGAGAAGTGAGGACTACCTGGTCTGGCCACAAGGAGCCCACTTGCAACAAAATCTTTATCTATTTTACTACTATTATGTTCTGGAGTTAGGCCCATCCTTCCTTCGCTTTTTAATTCATTCTAGAGCCTGACTATCCTAACCAAACACTAAAATCTCAAGGTGTAAAAACATAAAAGCAAAAGAAAGTGGCTGACTGAAAACACTCTGTGAAGGGAACTTCTCCCATCCTGGTCCCGGGCTCAGTTCTCCTAGAAAGCCATGGCCTGAACTGGGTACAGCACCACGCTTGCCGGCACAAGGCTACACTACTTTCTAACCCTTCTCCTGGGGCCAGGTGTGTCTCCTTGTCCTTCAGAGTCCCTGACATAGAGTGATTAGTTAGCTGCTATGGTCCCTGTGAATGGATGTGCACATGTATGTCAATGCTCGTGTGTGTGTGTGTGTGTGTGTGTGTGTGTGTAACTGTACTACATGTGCTCTAGAGGCCAGAAGGGAACTGTAGGTGTTATTCCTCAGATGCCATCCACCTTTTAAATTTAAGGCAGGGTCTCTCATTGGCCTGGAACTTTCCAGCTAGGCCTGGGTAGCTGGCCAGAAAGCCCTAGGGACTGTCTGCCCTTGGTGTTCCAGTGATAGGATTATGAGTGTGTACAACCATACCAGGAATTTCTTTATCTTTTGTTTTTAGAAGATTTATTTTTATGTGCGTGTTTGCCTACGTACATGTACTTATAACGTATGTGTATGCCTAGTGCCTGAGGAGCCAAAAGAGGGTGTCAGATCTCTGGAATGGGAGTTACGGGAGGTTGTAAGCTGTCATGTAGGTGCTGGGAACCAAAACTGGGTCCTTCGGAAGAGCAGCAAGTGCTCTTACCTGTTGAGTCATCTCCCTGTCACCCCTCCCCATTTCTGAAAGGGGTCTCACTATGCAGCCCTGGTTGGTCTGGAAGTTGTACCCAAACTGGACACAAACTCACAGAAATCTGTCTTTATGCCCCAAGTGCTGGGATTAAAGGTGTACACTACTGCATCTACATCTGGTGTCTTCTTCCTTTTTAAATGCAGGTTTGGGGGATGGAACTTAAGTCCTTGTGCTTTACTGTCTAGACTACCTTTCTAACTCTCTGACTAGAGTGCTATGAAAATCCACCACTCGCTGTTCAAACAGTCCCTCTGCTGAGACCTGACCCTGCACAAGGCATTAGCATAAGGCAGCTGTGTCAGCACTGATCGAGGGAAGATGCAAGGCTCTCCTGGCTGTGGAACACAAGTGAAACAAAGAAAGGGTGCCTGTGTGTGGTTGAGGGGGTCTACACTTAGGACAGCCTTGATGGTGCCTTTTATACATCAAGGAAATGGGACAGCAGCGATCACTTACCTGGTGAGGAAAGGCAGGGCTGGGCCTCATGGGCTGTTGGTCAAAGCCCACATCTGGGAAGAAGTTGGTCAGAGATGAGCCCTTTGGGAAATAAGGAGGTAACTATTTAGAGCTGGAGTTCAGACTGAAATAAGCCCCACCGCCCATGTCTCACAGAGACTTACCTGGGCTGTGAGGAGCTGGAAGTCTGACTGTGGCAGGGAGGGAGCTGTCTGGGGCTGCTGGGCTGGGGGCTCCTGGCCATGAGGCTGCTGGAGGAGTGGCTGAGGCAGCTCCTGGGGGGTGGGGTACGGGGGCGGTGGAGACACTTGGGCTTGAGCATCTGTGGGCAGGAAGGAAAGTGGGCTCTGCTCTGAGGTCACCATCTGTGAAACAAGGCACATGAGGGTCAGGAAGGTCAGGTGAGAGGAGGAGCGGGGCTCTCCCTGAGCCGGTGAGAAGATGCTGAGAAGATGCTGAGAAGCCCTGCGTGGCACGTCTCCACTCCACGCCCTGGAAAGCAATTTCTATCAGCAGTATTTCTACTGTTGAATCAAACAAGAATGCGGCCAACTTCCTCTGCGTTCGTTCTCAGTGCAGATAATGTTTTGTTCCTAAAGCCACGACTGCTGGTGAGAGATAGAAGACTGGAAAACACAACCACTCTAAACTCCACTAAAACAAGACACTAACACACAACAGTGGACACTACCAAGCCAAACCACAATCATGAACAACACAAGTGTGAGGACACCACGGGAGAAAAGACATTCGTAAAACAGCAGAAGCAGAGAAGGCCAGGCGGCCAGTCATCAACAAGGACAGCCAGGAGTCACCTAGTAACCTGAGTCCCTGCCTAACTCCAGGTGTAGAGGACAGGACCAGGATGAGCAAGGGTTGAAATTAACCCCTGAGGGTCTGGTCAGAGTTTCTGTGAGGGTGACTAGCCTCCCTCCTTGATGCTGGCCAGGAGAGTGGAGGCAAGGCCTCTGCATGCTGCAAGGTGAGCTATTTACCTCCAACTTGGCTCCCAGAAACTGGGATCCAGACACATGGCCAAGTCTCAAACGAGTATTGGTCAGAGACTCGGACCCAGGCTGAGACTTCTCTAAACAAAAGGACTAGAACCTCTGACAGAAGCTTCTATGGAAATGAGAGAGACAATTCTGTCTTGAGCTCAGACTCCAGCAAACTCCTGCTCTCGGAGTTGCAGAGTACTGGGCACGGCCAGCAGAGCCCAGAAAGGCACAGCCTGACACCTGGGAAGGAAGAAGTGAGGAAATCCGTTTATACTGTAACTGAAATAACATTCAGGCTTTTAAAAAGAATGTTTATCACAGCAAATAACAGGTGAATCTCTGGGTTCAAGGGTAGCCTGGTCTACTGAATAAGTTCCAGGACAGCCAGAACTACACAGAGAAACCCTGTCTTAAAAAACTCAAAACAGGAACTGGATAGCTCTGTGGTTAAGAGCACTGGCTGCTGTTCCAGAGGTCCTGAGTTCAATTCCCACAAACCACATGGTGGCTCACAACCATCTGTAATGGGATCTTCTGGTGTATCTGAAGACAGTGACAGTATACGCATATACACTCATAACATGAATCCATCTTTAAAAACAACAACAACAAAGAAAGGAAGGAGGGAGGGAGGGAGGGAGGGAGGGAGGGAGGGAGGGAGGGAAGAAAAAATGGAAAAAGTCTATAAAAGTGCAAAAAAAAGTTGGAAAACAACCTCTAAAAAACCTCAGGGCCAGATGATGTTTTACCCATAGACTACGTATAAGACTACAAAAATGAATATTAAAGAAACAAGAAAGAACTTTTGAAAAATATACAAAAATCTTCCAGAAAGAAAAAAGAGGGTCCAGCAAGATGGCTCAGCAGGTAAAGGAGCCTGTCACCAAGCCTGACGACCCTAGAGCGACTGCCCAGAACCACATGATCAAGGGAGAGAACTGACTCCCAAAAGTTGTCCTCTGATCTGTGTGTGCACCAGGTGCCGCACATCAGACAGACAAACAGACAAAGGAGAAAGGAGCGGACGTGGCAAGAGCAGCGACAAGAGCACGGGAGGAAAGCTTCATGATGGTCAACATTTGAACAACAGGATTTCCAGAGAGAACAGAGGAAAGTCAAGAGAAATGTCACTGGAGAAATAATTAAAATTCCCAGAAATGATGGACATCAGCTTCCAGACACAAGAAACCCTCCAGACTCATTCCACGGCACATGGTCTCGAAATTTCACATGCTGGAGATGACAACGAAGACGAGAGGACATCCAGAAGCCTCCAGAGAGTGAGGGGTGTCACTGAGCGGGAGGTCAGCTGTCAGTGCGTGACCGGAAATGCCGCAGCAGAATCCTCTCTCTAGCTCAGCTAGTTACTAAATGGAAGGTAGAGTGAAATCAGTTTACAGTCATGCAAAGGCACCTGCACTTCCCCAAGGCTTACAGAGGATCTGTTTCAAATGGGTTAAGCTTGCTCCAATGCCAAGAGTTTGGGCCTGAACTAGCAATGCCCAGCTAGAGAGCCAGGCCAACAGCGAGGAGCAGGACGGTAACATCTGGAGCAAACCAAATGCTCACTGTCATTTCCTTGTGTGCTGTGGGGTCAAGTGTCCGACCACATCATGGCAGCCACGGGAACACAAACACCACATAGTGTTCTCACTGAAACGATGATAAATGAGCAGAGTGAGGAAGGTGTGTGAGAGAGAGGGGCCTGAAAGGAAACTGAAGCCCAAGCCTGGATGGCGGGATGTCATTACCCAATGTGGAACAGCAAAAAATCCCGAACAAAATAAGCATGGAATGAGATGTTTATAGCAAAGAGATTAGCTAAATGGTTGGAAACAGCCAACTCCAGGCAGTGAAAAACGTGGTTAATGGGTTAGGGGAGACAACAATTATTTCAAAACATGCCCTTCAGAACCATTTGCCTTTTGAGACTGTGTGCATGAGTAAGACAGTTTCTAAACCTAAACATTAAACAAATAAGAATAACATTAGAGTCAATGTTCTCTACCTTTAAAGTGTATTTAGAAAGCAAGAATACTTTTGTAGTTCATAAAATAGTCTTACAAAGAGAAGCTAAAACGAATCTAATAATTTTTAAAAGTAAAAAAATTTTTAAAAAATTATCAGATAGCCGGGCGGTGGTGGCGCACGCCTTTAATCCCAGCACTTGGGAGGCAGAGGCAAGCGGATTTCTGAGTTCAAGGCCAGCCTGGTGTACAGAGTGAGTTCCAGGACAGCCAGAACTACACAGAGAAACCCTGTCTCGAAAAACCAAAAAAAAACAAACAAAAAAAAAATTATCAGATAGCCTCTCATCTTCTCCAGAAGAAATTGCTCAAACCCCATGCCCAGTAGCTATAGAGTGACTACTAACCGGATAGAGTGACTACTACCCGGATAGAGTGACTACTACCCGGATAGAGTGACTACTAACCAGATAGAGTGACTACTAACCAGATCATCTAAACTTCTTCCCTTGTGTTCTACCAACTCCTCCTGGTAAAGCATTACTCATTGCACGAAGCAGGGAGGAGTTAATGATTTTACAATGTATCTAGGGTGTGGCAAATGGGTCAAACATGTATTTACCAGTGATTATGGTAAGAAGACCCACCCTAAGAGTTTAGAATAAAAACAAAGCCAGCTAGCCCAATGTCACACCTCCACGTCCATAATCGGCTGGGGCTTCCAAATACCCCTCTTCTCAACTAAGTGACTCCTTCTGGAGAGCTGTCACTCCATTGTCACTCCCATTATAGCTAGAGTTTTATATATATAACAAGAGTGTTCTTTCTCAAGCATCTAGTGGATAAAGGGAAAAGGTTAATCCACTATTGAAGTGTCAGGTTACCAAGTGTTTTTTTTTTTTTGGGGGGGGGGTTTCTCTATGATCTGCTGTAGTTATTAGGTCAATAACTGATTTTTAAATACAATTTGCAATTTTAACCTGAACTGCCTTGCATTCTCCATACCCTAGCCCTTTCTCCAGCCCCAACTTTATGAGTTAATGACTACAAATTGTTTAATATTTACTTCAGGCAATAAGCATCCCAAACCTGCTATTACAAAATCATAAATGCATTCAGACACATGCACCCTCCCCCTTATCCTGGAAAAAAAAGACGAGCGTGCACTTGCAAGGGAGTGCATCGCAGGCATGCGCAGTGCTGCAACGCCAGACCCCATCCAAACCAAAACCGGCCCAGAGGAGCTAGGCCATCGACGACTGCTCAGCCTGTTGGAGGTAGGTGCTGCACCAGTCTTTCTCACCTGGGAGGCTGGATATGGGTTCAGTGGGCTGGTTGCAGACAGCTGTCTGTTGAAACCTTGATGTGCTTCAGGGCCAGGAGAGAGTGTGAGAGGGCTGACCGGTGGCTGCCTGCGCCGAGAGGGGCCACTCAGGTTTGTGGTAGAAAGAGACGGGTTGCTAAGGGAGAAGAGACGAAGCGAGGGGTGGAGAGCAGAGGCGTTGGCCACAGCCGGCTGTGGGTGGCTATTGAGGGATGAGGAAAGTGTCATCTTATTGAGTGTGGCTTGGATGGAGGGGTTACTTCGAGAACTCTGGAGACCTGAAAGAGAACGAGTTCACAAAGTTCTTTTCATGATTTTGGATCAAAGCTTTGTTTTCCAAAGAGTAAAGCAAAGTTCCTACTGGCTATGCGGTGACTCTCTGTGTGAAGGAGTTTCTGGGCAGCTCTCCTACTGGAAAAGACTCATATGTACAAGGAAAGGAAACACCATACTTAGAGAGCTGTGCCAAGCATCCAGCTTGAGTGAGAAGAGAATCACTGTGCCCAAAGAGGAAGAAGATTGAGAAAACCACCTCTGGAGAAGCTCAAGCAGGAGGCTAGAGGTGAGCTCAGGCTACAGAGGAGCCTCAGGCTAGACGGCAGCCAACTTAGAGCCTCTACGACCATCTGCCCTCAGATGGCCTGGATCCTCTATGAACACTGGAGAACACACTTCCCCTAGACCTCTCAGCCTTAAAATCCACTCTTTGATTGTGGCTTCCTTATGAGCTGTCTGTTAAAAAAGTGTTTCCCAACTCAGGGGAAAGGACATTCCTGCTAGTCACTTGTTTCTCTGAGGGGAAGGGGAGTGAATCTTAGTATGAGCAAGACCGTCTGGGGATGGTGCCTCCATAGTACAGACAGCTAAGAGAGGAGCTCCAGGGAGTTAGAGACCCTATCCTGTGCCCTACTGGTTCCTCAGCATGTGGCTCAGGCCACCCGTGAACAGAACCACGTGGTGAACAAGAAAGCTGCTGCTGCTGCATATACTGTGACAAGCCACACGCACGGTTAGCTCAGCCCACTGCTCTCGTGCTAAAAGTTGGGAAACAGTAATGTGTGTTTGTGTTGATTTAAAAAAAAATTGCTTGTGGAGGTCAGGATACACAGGTCAGTGGTAGAGCACTTGCTTAAAATTCCTGAGAACCTGCCTCAATCTCTTGAACCATGAACAAAACAGAAGCAACAACAGCAGCAGCCTATGAAAAGGTGAGACCCCAGTAGCCCAAACAGTAAGGAGAGCTAGAGATCTGAATTCAATTAAAAAAGAAGTCTCATTCAGAAAGAAAGCCTAAATATATTTCAAAAGCATATACCAGGCTTAAAAAAAAAAAAAGAAAAAGAAAAGAGTAGAAATGTAACTTAGGCTGGCCTAAAATTTGTATAGATCTGCCTTAGCTTTTTATATTTTTATGATATATACGTATTTTTATTTTATGTGTATGAGTGCTTGCCTACATGTAAGTATGGTAAGTACCATGCACATGCCTGGTGTTGGCGGAAGCCAAAAGAGGGCATCAGATCCCCAGGAACTGAAGTTACAGGTGAAAGTGAGCCATCATGTAGGTGCTGGGACCTGAACCTGGGTCCTCTACAAGGAGTAGCAAGTGTTCTTAATCACTGAGCCATCTCTGTCGCCTCTGTACCATACATTTTGTTTGTTTGTTTTTTTGAGACAGGGTTTCTCTGTGGAGCCCTGGCTGTCCTGGAACTCACTCTGTAGACCAGGCTGGCCTCGAACTCAGAAATCCGCCTGCCTCTGCCTCCCAAGTGCTGGGATTAAAGGCGTGCGCCACCACCGCCCGGCTGTACCATACATTTTTAAGTGGAGACACTATAAAGCTAGATGGTGTTCTGCATTAACATGATGTGTGTGGAAGAGGGTGACAGTCAATGAATGAAAGCCTACAGTGCCAGCTTTTTCAAGATCCAAGGGAGCCATGGGCGACAGTGATTTGTCTCAGTGTCGCTGGGCATCATGGCTCACTGAGAATTCATCTAAAAGGGGAATTCTGAGTTTACAACTCTTAATGAGTTTGAGTTTCTGTTGTGAAATAAATCAAAGAAACTCAGAGTTACGAGACCAGTGTCTTCTTAAAGTGCAACCCAGAACCCTCAGAACACTCTGAAATACCTTGAATCAAAGACAGTGCCATGTGGCTTCAGAACTCACTCTTGACAGTGAGTTTGCACATACATGACTTGATTTCTAAAATATCAAAATTCACCTTAAGAGGAACACTACAGGATAGTTTATTATTAAATGGCACCTCCTTCAAAGAAAAAGCCCTTCTAAAATAAAAATAAGAGTAGTCTCTGCAACCAGCTATTCATGGCTGAATCCACACTGCTCAGTAGGAACCCACAGCACCACTGCAGCCGTGGCAGGGAACCCTATGGGGCCATTCCCAGGTGGGCAGGCTCTGTTCTGCCTGGTGAGTCTCACTGAGCCCAGAGTGGAAACCAACAACCACTTCCTCCACCTACATCTGACCACTGAGGAGCCCTTCCAATGGAACTTTCCTCAGCACCATCTCTAGCAGACACCATGAACGGGGGTGGATGGAGGACAGGGTACCACCTGCTCTGGGTGCTGACAAGTAATATGACTACAGCCAGTACCACGTCCTTAAGCACTTCCAAACACTTGAAGATTTTTGAACTGTTGTAGATTTCTACTTAACCTACATATGTTAAGTGTAAATATTTTCATCATGCCCACTGTAAATTTTCTAAAATTTAAGAAACTGTCCTTTTGAAATCCAGTGGGGATCTGGGGGGAGCTAAGGGAATGATTAAATAAGAGATCACCATATGCTGATAAAGACGGCTAATGTTCGCTAATGTTCAGTTGCCTGAGATGGCACCTATTTCTCGACTCCCAAACATTCTTCCCCAAGTTCTCTGCAAACATGTGAAGACAGTGAAGAAGGAGGTGCAGCAGAACTGAGCAGAACTCATCAAACAAGCAGAAATGGGATTCCCCAGAGCAGAAGCCAGCCAGTACAAGGACACCGTAATATGTCACTAAGATGTAGTGGCTCTCATTTAGTGGCGCACCAAACACACACAGCAGGGGACACAGCCAAGGCCCTTTACTTACCAGAAGAGTTTCTTATCCCCAGGTGAGTCATAGCAGCTGGAAGGTTGCCCACACTGTTCCCCATACTCATGCTACCAAAGAGGTGGTCGCTGGTGTCCAGGGAGGCTGGCAGGGGTGCTGAGTAGTGGAGGTTGGTTAGATCTGGTAACGACCCTCCAGTGTTCAGGGTCCCCAGGAACGGTGAGAGGCCTGTGTTTTGGCCATTATGTGGAAAAGCACTGAAAGAAGAGAAAGAGGATTACTTCTACAAGGCTGTGGGGAAATGGGATGCAAATGATGCTTCTTCCTTGTTGATGACTGAAGACTCATGTAGGCTCTGCTTCTCGGGAGAACGCAGTCTGTCAGCTTCCCTTCTCTGGAATGCAATGTCCTTACATGTTAAATGAGACAGATTGCTTTCAAACTGTAAGTCACTGTATAAAATGTAAACTGTTACATCATATTTAGAGTTCTTTTTGCTAGCTTTTCAAATTATTTTTGCTACTAAAACCACATACACAAAAGAATCTTTCAGCAACTAGATACCTTCCAAGATCTATTGTTTCAATTAAATTTTCAAAAACTTTAAAAACATAATTTGGGGGTTGGGGGATTTAGCTCAGTGGTAGAGCGCTTGCCTAGCAAGCGGAAGGCCCTGGGTTCGGTCCTCAGCTCTGGGGGGAAAAAAAAGAGATAATTCTAAAAACATAATTTGGGGCTGGAGAAATGGCTCAATGGTTAAGAGCACTGACTGCTCTTCCAGAGGTCCTGACTTCAATTCCCAGCAACCACATGGTGGCTCACAACCATCTGTAATGGGATCTGATGCGTCTGAAGAAAGCGACAGTGCATTCATATACATAAAATAAATAAATCTTTTTTTAAAACCATAACAATTTTTACTTATTAAAGATTTATTTTTATTTGTTTATATGTAATGTGGCATGTGTGTGTGTGTGTGCGTGTGTGTGTACATCTGACTGCAGGTGGCCTTGGAGGGCAGATGAGAGTTGTGCTGGATAGAAGCTAAAGTTCTCTGAAAGGTAAGGACTTCAGCTGATAAAATGTTTCCGAAAGATCCGGCATACTCTAGGCAAGCCTGTAGGGCATTTTCTTAATTAATTATTGATGGAGGGGGTCCCAGCTCATTATGATGGGGTTACCCCGGGGCTGGTGGTCCTAAGTTCTATAAGAAAGTAGTCTTAGCCAGCCATGGGAGCCAGCCAGTAAGCAACACGCCTCTATGGCCTCTGCATCAGCTCCTGCTCCCAGTTCATGTCCTATGTGAGTTTCCATCCTCACTGCCTTCGATAATAAACTGTTACATGAAACTGTGAACACAAAAAGACCCTTTCCTCCCCAGGTTGATTCTGGTCATGGTGTTTCATCACAGCAATAGTAACCCTAACTAAGAAAGGGTACTGGACTCCCGGAGCTGGAGGTCCAAGTGGTTGTAGATCACATATTGGTATCTCTGTAAGTGCAAACAGCAAGGTCTCTTTCTCACTGAGCCACCCCTCCAGGCAAGTTTCCATAATCTTGAAAATAAGGAAGACATATTGCCATTCATTGATTAAAACCACTGACTGGTCATTGTGTGCCAGGTACAAGGGCAGGCTCAGGAAGTACACTGATGAACAAGTACGGTTGGGTCTGTCCTTGATGTCTGCACACCTAGGGCAAGAATGCAAACTGCAAATGGAAGTTTGCCATGGACCACCCCAGTTGGGTATGAGAGTTGCATCTCTTTTAGTCTATGTGAGTTGGAGGAGGGGGTGCACACATGCAGGGGTCATGGGAGGATGTCGGGGGTCCTGTTACTCTCTACTTTATTCCCTTGACACAGGGTCTCACTGGACCTGGAACTAGACTGGAAGCAGCCAGCCCCAGTAACCTTCCTGTCTCCACTCCCTACAGCAATAGAGTTATAGCCATGTGTGCAGCCATACCCAGCTTTTCTCAAAGGTGCTGGGAATTTAAACCCAGGTTCTCAAGCTTTCACAGCGAAAGCTCTGAGCCCTTGCCCAGCTCCTGCTGTAATCTCCCAAAGTCATAAAGCAAAGGAATAAACTTTGTGTCGTGACAAAGCATGCCTTTATTTATAATAGACTGAATTAAAATGTAGACATCCCAGTATTCCTGGGGCCTTGTATTAGCATACATTGGGACTGGCAGGCCAATCCTTAGTCCATATTTCCTTCTAATACCCAGTCCTGTTCTGCACTGAAAGGCAGGTATGTGGCTGTCACATATACAGTGTACTGTGGGTCCCTGCAGTTCCTTGGACTCAGGCAGCTTGGGAGTGGGCCCTCTCAAGGACAATGCTTCTTATTACTCTTATGAAGGAATCATGTTCTTAGAGTCCAGAGAAGGAGCAACAGAATGATCAAGCAGGCAACTGTAATATGGCAGGGAGCATGCTGTGCTAGAAGTTGCTAGGGTACAACCAAGAGGTACAAGGAACACTAAGCACAGAGCAAGAGATGCCAAACACAGGAAGAATCGTGTGGAGGAAGGCTTCGCTAGGGACATGACATGGTGCTAGCAGAACCTCAAGATGCCTGGTGTGGCTGAGGCAGTGCAGGTGGTGCAGGTGGTGAGAGGTGAAGAGGGGGAGGCAGATGTGGAGGAAACAGAGAAGATGTTCTCGAGAAGAGTAAGTCTTGGACTACAGGAGAGAGGGGGTAAGTGTGAGCTAGAGGTGCTACTGTGGTCACCCGTGAGAGACGGCTTAAGGGAGCAGACGGGGGCAGCAGGCCAGGTCAGAAGGCTCTTGCAGTGCCCCGGCCCAATCCACGACAGAGCAGTGAGATGACGAAAGAACAGCTGAAGAGAACCACAAGCCAGAGAAGGGAGAAGGATTGAGTCACTCAACACAGCACATCTTGAGTGACCAGGAACAACTGTTGGCATCAGGGCCTATAGGAGACTCCAACAAGGCAGGAGACAGCCATAGTGAGTGCGACTCGTGAACTGACTGGCTTACTCCTGCAACAACAGAGCCTGATGGGGGGAGGCTTCCGGGAGGCCACTGGAAACTCAGTCAGAAAGCCAAGGAATTCAAGTGAGGTAGGCAGGAAAACCATTTTAGGTGGAAGTCAAAGCAGGGGCAAAGGGAGGCAGGAAGCACATGGTATGTCTAGGCACTGTGATGACTGATAACCACTGAAGGTTAGGGTTGGGAGGGTGGGGACTACTGGAGATGGAGCCGAGGAAACAGACACAGAACACCTGAGGCTGAGAACAGAGGACAGAGGGCTGAGAACAAAGACAGCAGGGGAAAGCTAAGAACAGAAGATACACGATTTCCTTAGGATGGTATGGTGGTCAGACCTGAGGGGCAAGGAGCAGAGCCTTGAGGCAAAGTGGCAAACTGGAGAGTGCAGTGATGTGGGAGCACAAGGACGGGGCAGTGGGGATGGATGCTGGGATATGTGTGGCAGGACTTGGGAGTGATCCTGGCTCCTGGCCTGGGAAAGCCACTCACTAGAGCCCATGACAGACTAGGGGAGGGTCATGGAGATGGGTAAGAACATAACTCTTGTCTATGTCCTTAGCTTGGCTGCAGTCTGACATACAGCTGGGATGTCTCTCACTGAGGGAAGCACTGGAGGAGGTGACTCACAGTCTGGAGGACACTTAAACTGAAACAGTGGAAGCAGAAGCTGGGTTACTTTCAAAAAGTGGCTAGCTAGAGAGAGAGCTCAGGAGCTAAGAGAACTGGTTGCCCAGAAGACCCAGGTTCACCAGCATCCATGGTGGCTCAGAACCATCTGTGACTCTAGTTCCAGAATGTATGATACTCTCTTTTGGCCTACAACACATGACATACACATGGTACACAGACATACATGCAGGCAAAACACCCTTACACATAAGTTTTACATATACTTGTGGCTGAGAATTCTGGGAACCAGAGGGAATACTAGGTAGTGGAGAGAGGTCTCAGAAAAGCCAGTGCAGTGGAAGGGCCAGGAAAGGGAAGCAACCCACCTTGATCAGCAAGGTGCCTTCACACCTGGTAGTAGAGGAGGGTGGGGAGAGGAGTGTGCTTTGTAACAGCCTCTTCTCCATGTAGAAGGACCAGAGTGAGGCTTAACTGGAGGCTGGGAGAACCTGGTAGTAATGGGATCGTGTGCGCGAGTGAGGAGAAAAAGCTGTAGAAACATGCATGTAAACCTTATCTTTCAGATGGCTGGACTCTATCTTTCAGAACTAGCTATAAAGTCAAAGTTCAAGCACTAGAAAACAGGGACAGTGGGGAGCTCATTGCAAGAGCAGGTGAGCCTCCTGTGTCTGCAGGTAGGAATGAAGGCTGGGACAGGAGCAATGGCTGACTGTGAAGACTGTGATGTGACCAATGTGAACCTGGTCATTAGTGACATCAAAACGATTCTGGGGTTGAGATAAATACAATCGGTCACTTCTTGGATGTTGCTATGATGGCTCCAGTCCCTGCTAGATCTGACGTAAGTAAGCAATGTTTTTCATGGCTCAAGTCCTTCTAGTGAATCAAGTCTCAGTGTGCTCCAACTACACAGCTTCCATACGTTCATCAGGGTCTTTGCACTTGCTGTTCTCTCTGCCTGGATCCCTCACCTCCCTTCCTTAGGCTGGATTCTGTCACCGTTACCCTATTGGATGGCTTTCACCAGCATCTATTCCCCTACTACTCATCCATGTCTTCCGTGGCTCTGCCTCCTTTTCCCTCTCTGTTTCACCAAGAACACTGGCACTTTGCAAGCAGGGACTGACCTGTTCTGTTTATTGCTGGATCTGATCCTTAAAATCAGGAGTCAATACCCATCTGTATGAACTGATGGAACGCTATTGTTAAAAGCAGAAGGGCAACCCTTTAACCTAGCAGGTGCTAGCCCCAGAGCTCCCCAGGGTTAGCAGATTGCAGCCCCAGTTCTTTGATATAGGGTATCAGAGCCTTGAGTGTTGGTTTTAATTAATTAATTAGTTAATTGATCAATTAACTGAATGTATGTGTAGGTGCATGTATAGAGGCTAGAGACCATCCTTCTAGATGTTTCACAGGCTCCCCTAACAGCAGCTCGTTGGGGTCCTCAACTGAGTCCACCATTCCGGCAGCCTCTGGTGTGTCAACACACAGGCCTCACAATCCCTTTGCTTCTTTATTCTCTCTTAGTTCATCTTTCTCACAAACACTTTAGATCTGTTTATATTACAGGTATTTTTATACTGTATGTGTTTTTATCATCCAAAATCTTTTAGGAAGTAAATGTGTATGTTATAAAATCCATTTATTAAGCTGGGTGTGGTGGCACACACCTTTAATCTCAGCACTTGGGAGGCAGGTACTGGATGATATCAGTGAGTTCAAGAACAGCTTAGTCTACATAGTTAAGTTTAGGTTAGTCAGGGTTACATAATAGACTCTTGCCACAAAACAAAACAAAATTAATTAATGCATAGTGCCATAGACTCATTTTAAATTGCAAATCTTTCTGTTCATCATTTTTAAAAAATTGTAGTAAAATATCAAATTTACAGACTATCAAATTTACTGCTTTGACTATTTTTGCATGCATAGCTCAGAGGCATTAAGTATATCCACAAAAATTTAAAAATCAACTTCTATGTAGACAATCAAATTAGCTGATGTTTTCCTTTCCTGTCAATGGATGCCGTGGCCTGCCACAGGCTGTGGCTGATACACACACACTTCTGCTTCTTCCAGGCAGGTTCTGTGTGCCCAGAGTCTGTTGGGGTACTCTCAAACACATCCAGGGTGATTTTACTGGCTTTTGTCAGCTGTATAACTGTCTCAAATACATGAAATATGAGTACCAAAGAGAACAGATGTTTTATGCAAATTCAGATGACTTGGGCTTGTGAGCATCGAGTTCCAGTTCTCAGCCCTGTGACAGACCAGGAAGACTAGAAAACCTGCAGCAGGAGGATGACTTACTTGCCACCTCCAACATCACAGGATCGAGGGCGCCCGGACAGGGATTGCATCTGGGAAGAGACAAAAAAAGCTGGGCTTACTCAGTGCACAGGCAAATTCAAATGTTTGGAAAGTGGGGATCTGGGCACCCTAGTTAGAGGCCGAGGCCGACAGAGCGAGTCAAGGGCATCTGCACAGAGCAGCCACTTAAGTTCCACCCCACTGTGAGGGATCTTAAAGTTCTTAAATTTCCATTCAAAAGAAGTATAACACTGACACATTTCCTTAACGTGATTCCTTACTCACTTATCTTCTAGTTAAATGTTACTTTCTTCAAAAAGGCAAATGTTTCACATATTCAGATTTTAAATAATTTTTTTTCAATTAGCAAGACAGAAAAAGGAGGAAAGAGAAAAGAAAAACAGGGCAATGGGAGAGGGAGGAGGGAAGGGAAAAGGACAATGGCACTAGAACAAGCATTAGCCGGGACAGGGATGCACACTGCACAGTCACAGGACCAAGGAAGACGGCTGTCTGTCTGAGACAGCAGCTCCTGGTATTTGTGAGCACACACTTGCACACCGTTATCTGTCTCTTTTTAGGCCCCTAAAGTTAAAACATCAACTACATATCCTGCTTTTATAAAAAGCTTTCAAGCCGGGCGGTGGTGGCGCACGCCTTTAATCCCAGCTCTTGGGATTTCTGACTTCGAGGCCAGCCTGGTCTACCGAGTGAGTTCCAGGACAGCCAGGGCTACACAGAGAAACCCTGTCTCGAAAAACCAAAAAAAAAAAAAAAAAAGCTTTCAAGACCACACTGAAGCTAGCAGAGACTTCCGGTGGGTTTGATGGAGGAAAGGAGCAGAACCAATGGGATCCTGATGGGGGTGTGGGTGGGGAAGCAGGACCAATGGGATCCGTGATTGGGGTGGAAAGCGAGGAAGCAGGACCAATGGGATGCTGATTGGGGGTGGGGGTGGGGGGCACAGTTAAGCACAGAGACCAAATAGCTAACTGTCATCTGGGCATCACTAGGGGCGGGAAGGAGGACTTTTCTCACAAGACTGCTCTCTACAGAAAGAGGCCAAGCTAAGCCGAGGGACCTCCCTCTCCGCAGTGCAGTGGGTGAGGTTTACAAAGGGACGGGGCGGGAGGCCAGTGACAAGGATTTCAGATGCTAACATTCAAAGCTCAGAGAAATCGTAGTAAACAGATGACTCACTGCTGCCTCTCAGAGAGTCAAAGACCTTTGATTTCAGAAAAGATCATCTGGCAAGACAGCGATTCTCAACCGGAGCTGGAGATGGCTCCAAAGCGGACATCGGCCCTTTCCTGCCCAGGTCTCCAACAGTAGCTTAACAGCTTTCTTTTGAGAACCAGCAAGGTCACAGGAAAGCAAGGAAGCCGCAGGGTCACTGCACTAATCACCGGTATAGATGATGATCCACTGGGGACAGCACTCCCCACTGTCTTCCCAGTATCAGCGTCCAGACAAACCCTCTTTTCCTTTTCCCCAGTTCTGGTGTCTACCTCTGCAGGGCGGGCTGCCAGGACAGACAAGCATGACCCACCGAAGACCGCTCACCTACCTCCTTGGTCTCCCACAGTTGTTTAGGCAGTGGCTTCGGGACATTTAACAGGTTCTCTTCCTTCAGTGGACCCGGGAAGGCTGCTACTAAAAGGAAGAACAAAAACATTTATTAAGTTAGAAAAGAAGGCAGCCACTGGCTTTTGGCTAAATAAATTAGCTTTGTTTAAAACTGCTGGGGGTGGGGAGTGGGATGGGGTGGTTGCAAACCTTTAATCCCACACCAGGGAGGCAGGGACAGAGGCAGATGGATCTCTGTGAATTTGAGGCCAGTCTATTCTACATAGGACGTTCTAGGACAGTTAGAGCTACATAAAGAGACCCTGTCTCAAAAGAAAAGAAAAAACATTTTTAAATGGCTCTTAGCACTTAGCGTTGGCTATCCTGGAACTGCCTTGTAGCTCAGGCTGGCTTCAGGCTAGCCTCAGACTCTCAGCTATTCTCTCAGGTTGTGGGATTATAGGCATGTGCCACGCTGACTAGTGAACATGATTTCTTTAGCAAAGACTATTTTAACACACTTTTTTCTTTAATTATTGTATTATTTTGTGTGCATGGGCAGTTTGCCTATGTATGTCTGTGTATATGAACGCTGGTGTCTATGGAGGCCAGAAGAGGGCATCAGATCTCTCTGAACTAGTTAGAGACAGTTGTGAGCCACCATGTGCCTGTTAGGAATTGAACCCAGGTCCTTTGGAAGAGCTGCCAGTGCTCTTACCCATTGAGCCATCTCTCTAGCCCTTTGTGTGTCAATGTAGGGGTTGAAGGAACAGTTAAGAAATAGATTCAAATTTGAGGAAATCTATAAACTAGCCAGGGGACAAAGCCAGCACATCTATGACTCAACACTGAAGGAAGCCCAGGAGAGACATACATCCTTGCTTCAGAGCAGAAGAACAGCGAGGCTTTGGAGCTGGATGCCCTGGGCTCCCTTTAGATACAGCAAAGGACATTCAAGCACAAGAGTGAGGAAAAAATAAAAGGCCTAGAGAAGAAACGGCAGCAAGCACCAACCAGCGTGCTCTTGCTATCTGACCGTGGGTTAGGTAAAGAAGAGTAGTAGGAAATAAAATGCACAAGTCTGAGAACTGGCCAGGGCTCTGCAGGTGTGGGAAAAGGGGATATGACGAAACACACACTAATCAAGATGACATTAAGAAGGTAACAAATGAAGATGAGGTGGCCTGGGTAGATGGCTCAGTGGATAGAGAACTTGCCCTGTAAGAGTGAGGACCAGAGTTTGATCCTCAGAACCCATGGAAAAGCCAGGTAGGCATGGCAGGTGCCTGTAATCCCAGACACCAGGGGCAGAGACAGGGGCTCCCCAGAGCAAGCTAGCTACCCTAGTTTAAACAGGCAAGTGCTGGATTTAGTAGGACTTTGTGTACCTCAATAAATAAAGTGGAGAGTAATCAGAGAGGACACCCAACTTTGGGCTTCCACATAAATGGTGCACAGTGCAGGTGCCCCTCCCCCATGTCCACATATCTCCACATACGTGCGTGCATGCGTGTGTGTGGTTAGAAATAAAGGACTGATAACCCACCAGGTTTGGCTGAGAAGCTGATGGGGGCTCTCCTGGCTCTACAGCATGGGCCTGTTCCTTGACTGTGTGCTTTAGTGCTCTCAGACATACTGACGAGAGCAAGAAGGCTGAGCCACAAATCAAGAAAGGCTTCTTGTCCTCAGACACAGACCAGAGGTCAAAGGCTAGTTCTGAGGAACAATGTGATCTGATGTCAAGAAGATATTCCACAGCAGACCCTGGAGACAGCTCAGCATGAAGGAGGCTGCAGAGTTCTCGGGACTGCAGGGCTCCCCTGTGACTGTCTTGACTGTCTTGCCTGTCTTGCCCTTGGCCCTCACAAGATGAGTAATAGACTCCAGGAAGTCACTTCAAACTGAGATCAAAGTTAAGTGCATTGGTAGAAGCCTGCAATCCCAGCATGGAGGCAGCAGAAACAGAAGGACCAGGAGTCCGGCTAGCCTGGGCTACATGATGCCTTATCTCAAAGAACAACCAACAACAAAATGGGGGCCAAAATTTCAGGATGAACTCTAAGAAAAGCATTTAAAATAAAAATTAAGTTTTTATTTTAATATATTTGCAAGTCAGTAAAAGTTAGGAAATAATTAAGAGTGGTTGGCACAGCTTGAAACAGTCATGATGGCTAACCTCCCAGCACCAGTTCGACAAATGCTACTTCTGCTGAGACAAGCAGGCTTTGTATGACTTGGTGTCCATCAGTCCTGACTTCAAAGTACTTGCTCCCTGTCCTTTTCTTTGATTCCCTCTATGTGTTGCTAAGGATAGGACCTAGGGCCCTACAAAGTCCTGCATTCCCTCCCTGAGCTACCCCAGCTGGATTACTCCCCTTTGAAGAATATGTCTATGATCTTGTTGGCTTTCTTTTTCTAATCACTGAATAAATGCCTCAGAGCTGTAAGCCCTGTGAGGTTCTAAGACTCTGTTCTCCTGGTTAATGCTTAATAAACAGTGCCTGGGGCATACAGACCCTCAAGGACTCTCCACAACTGGAGACGAGCAGCCGGCTTTGAGAGTCCTTACAGTTCAAGACAGCAGGGGAACAAGGATAGACTGTGAAGGCTCGGTGGGAGGCTAAGGCGGCCCCATGACTTAAAGACTAAGATCACCACAGGAAGGTGGCAGGGACAGGCTGCCGTGCCTTAACTGGTTGTTTCCTTTGAAGAATTCACTGTAGTTTCTCGTTCTATGTGTTAGTTTGTTGGGGATTCTTTGAAGAATTAACTGGGGAAGGCCCTGAGGCCATTTCTTTTTTTTTTTTTTTTGGTTTTTTTTTTTTGGTTTTTTCGAGACAGGGTTTCTCTGTGTAGTTCTGGCTGTCCTGGAACTCACTCTGTAGACCAGGCTGGCCTCGAACTC